TCTCCCCACTGATACCAATGATGGGGCACTATTCCTCCCCCACTGACACCAATGATGGGGCACAATTCCTCCTCCCCACTGACACCAACCATGGGGCACTATTCCTCCTCTCCCACTGACACCAACGATGGGGCACTATTCCTCCTCCCCACTGACACCAACGATGGGGCACTATTCCTTCCCCACTGACACCAACGATGGGGCACTTTTCTCCCCACTGATACCAATGATGGGGCACTATTCTCCCCACTGACACCAATGATGGGGCACTATTCCTCCCCCACTGACACCAACCATGGGGCACTATTCCTCCTCCCCACTGACACCAACGATGGGGCACTATTCCTCCTCCCCACTGACACCAACGATGGGGCACTTTTCCTTCCACTGATAACAATGATGGGGTGCTATTCCTCCCACTGACACCAATGATGGGGCGCTATTCCTCCCACTGACACCAATGATGGGGCGCTATTCCTCCCACTGACACCAAGGATGGGGTGCTATTCCTCCCACTGACACTAATGATGGAGCACTATTCCTCCCACTGACCCTAATGATGGGACACTATTCCTCCCACTGACACCAATGATGGGGCACGATTCTTCCCACTGACACAATGATGGGGCACTATTCCTCCCACTGACTAATGATGGGGCACTATTCCTCCCACTGACACTAATGATGGGACACTATTTCCTCACACACTGACACTAATGATGGGGCACCATCATTGGTGTCAGTAGGAGGAATAGTGTCCCATCATTGGTATCAGTGGGAGGAATAGCGCCCCATCATTGGTATCAGTGGGAGGAATAGTGCCCCATCATTGGTGTCAGTGGGAGGAATAGTGCCCCATCATTGGTGTCAGTGGATGAAATAGTGCCCCATCATTAGTGTCAGTGGGAGGAGTAGTGCCTCATCATTGGTATCAGTGGGAGGAATCATGCCCCATCATTGGTGTCAGTGGGAGGAATAGCCCCCATCATTGGAATACCATACCATATTGAAATCAAATCTGATGTTTTTTCATTTTTATTTGGTGTGCGTTGGAAGAGGGGTAGTCTTATACGGCAAGTATAGCTCAAACCCTATATTTTAACAGGAAAAGTAGGGGGTCGTCTTATACGCCCAGTCGTCTTATACGCCGGCAAATACGGTAGTTAGTAACCAGCATTCCACATGTTAAACTATAATATTATATAATATAAGGGAACATTGCAGGAAAATACTCTCAGATTGTAAGCTCCAACGAGCAGGGCCCTCTGATCCCTCCTGTATTGATTTGTATAGTGTACTGTCTGCCCTTATGTTGTAAAGCGCGGTGTAAACTCTTGACGCTATATAAATCCTGTATAGTAATAAAAAAATGCAGTTTCCTAACCTTGTAGGAAACATTCAACCCCCTGCCTTTAGCTGTTCAACCTGTGGATTGCTGGCTGCACTGATGAATGTACCGTGTAGTGCAATTATCATTCAGATAACTTATTTTTCAGTTGGGGTTTTCATTCTCCAATCTGTTACATTAAATTTGAGTTCAAGCTAAAAATAACTGCCAGAAAACATTTCTTTTTTTAGGTCCACAGATGAAGTGTTAATAACCATACACTCAATGCCTGGCTTGCAGAGAACTTGAAAAGCTCTATGTGTACCACATGGCCACCAACAGAGAGAGCTGTACGGATGCCTGGATTCCACTGCTCTGTTCTACACACTGCATTAACAATGCTAAGCAAATATTTCCTTCCTGGCTCTAGTATCAGACCTTCAGTCTGTTTCAAATGATCATGGAGGGAGTGATCCTGTCAGTCTGCCCACTGTGCGGTGACACAGGCGAGCCACTTATACAGACATGGAGCATTAAACAAGGGAAAATAGGGTCTGCTCACCACTCCTCAAAAGTTATCTTCTATCTGAAAGACTGACACTTGAATGTATTCAGTGCACCTAAAGTATTAAACTGGTTGTGCAAGACATTATTTACCTCAACGAATTCCCTGCATTAAGGTAAAAAAATGTCCCAGTAGCAGTATCACCCCCCACTCACACGATCCAGTGCTGTGCCTATCTGTACCAGCTGCCTCCTCTCTCTCTGCATTTACAGGACAGAGAGGCAGTAGCGGAAGCCATTGGCTGTAAGCAGAGAGCAGGGTGAAGAAAGCATACAGGTGGCGCAAACACCTAGTGCATTATCCAAGGTTTATTAAAAAGTGCAAAAAGACAAAAGATATACTCACAAACATAGCACATATATAAAGCCTATAAGGCCATAAAGATGGCAGAGTGTCCGACTGATGGTGTGGTCGGCCTTCTGACGCGTTTTGGGGATGAATCCCTTTCCTCAGAGCTATGGCCCACCTGGGTTGGAGCCTTACTTTATATGTGTGTGGCCAATACTGCCTATAATGAAGCCCTTCCCCTTAAGCCCAAAGGAGGTGGGGATCATGGGAGTTAGATTAAATAATATCTGCGGAAAATTAATAAATAGATGGTACAAGTATAAATATATAGATGTAAACAAGATGTAGGTCCTGCTCTTTGAGGCACTGTGGCAGCACGTTATAGTTTTTCATTTACATTAGAATTGATTTTATTGTTTGCCAGGTATACAGATTTTTACTTTATCACTATTATATTGTTTTTAATACTGAATTATTGAATTCTTTGTACTTAAATGTTTACATCTATATATTTATACTTGTACCATGTATTTATTTTCCGCATATATTATTTCAACTAACTCCCATGATCCTCACCTCCTTTGTGCTTGAGGGGAGGGGCTTCATTATAGGCAGTACTGGCCACACACATAATGTAAGACTCCAACCCAGGTGGGCCATAGCTGTGAGGAAAGGGTTTAGTCCCCGAAACGCGTCAGCAGGCTGACCGCACCAGTCAGACACTCTGCCATCTTTGTGGCCTTATAGGCTATGTATATGTGCTATGTTTGTGAGTATATTTTTTATCTTTTTACACTTTTTAATAAACCTTGGATAATGCGCTAGGTGTTTGCACCACCTGTATGCTTTCTTCCAGTTCGGTGATCTCCCCATCTGAGGAGGGCTGCATCTCCGGAACGCTATCCACAGGCCATTCACACACCTGATCCCCTGACATTGGCTCCCTCGAGGCGCTGGAGAGTTTACACTTCAGAGAGCAGGGGTGGGGCCAAGCTGCATTGGGACGCATAAATCATCCTTTGACCTCCTTTCTCTGGTGTTCTGACAACAAGACTATCCAGGGGCCCCATTTTTTTATTTTTATTTTATTTATTTCAGGTACTTATATAGTGCTGTCAATTTATGCAGTGCTTTACATATATATTGTACATTCACATCAGTCCCAAACCCTCAAGGGGCATACAATCTAAGGTCCCTAAATTACATTCATACATACACATACTAGAGCCAATTTAGACAGGAGCCAATTAAACTTACCAGCATGTCTTTGGAGTGTGGGAGGAAACCAGAGTACAAGGAGGAAACCCCCGCAGGCACAGGGAGAACATGCAAACTCCAGGCAGGTGGTGCCATGGTTGGGTTTCGAACCGGCGACCCTAGTATTCTTCCTGTTCAATATTTAAAGCTGAACTCTAGGTATAGGAGATACAAATTAATGCAGCTCTGCATTCATGAAATTATCATTAACTATTTTACATGCAAGCAATGCAATACCAGAATTTGACTTGGCATTGCAGTAGCTAATCATTTAACGTGCTGACAAGGGGCATGCTACAAAGAGGACAGAGCACAGTGACAGGGAGCTGAGCCAATTCAATCTGCTGCTTCTCTTTTACTGTCCAGTCATAGGCAGGAGGCAGGTCCTTGATCTAAGGAAATCTCCTCGATGAGAATGCAAACAGTAAAGAAAAACATAATTTAGATCAATAGCTGGAACACCAAACACTGAACCTCAAAAGTTCAAAAGGTTTTTGCATTTCATAATAGAACCTCAATACACTTTTTAACTTTTGAGGTTCGGTGTTTGGTGCGTTTGCTGTTTATATAAATGAGCTGTAATGTGGAATCAGCATTGACTATGAACCACCAATAGGGCAAGTAGGGTATAGTGATGGGTGGATTGGGCTGTGCAGCAAAAAAAATAAAAAATCTGGCAGAAGCTCCAACCCTCCCCTGCTATATCCCAAACCAAATAAAAGGTTTTGCCTGAAGTTGTTTTTTAACCACATGAAGACCGACATGCTAAACCCCTTCCTGTCCAGGTCATTTATGTTTTCAGCACTGTTTTTTTTTTTTTCATCCCTAATATTCTGAAGGAGTATCTCATTTCTTGTGTCCCTAAAATGTCAGCACAGTACAGACACACCACTATAATCACTCTAGTGTTAAGAGGCATGGTGAATTTTTTTTAACTTTTAATTTTTTTAGCCACATTTTTCTTGGAAAATAAAGAACATAAATACAATTTGATTTTTTTTTTACAAAGTTGTCAATTTACAAGTTATTTCTCACACACAGCACAGATAACAAGGTTACAAGAGGGTAGGACAAGAATTCTAAATTTCAAGAGAGCCAACCTTTAAAAGCTGAGCTCCATACTACATGACATTGAATGGGATCAGATTCTAGAAACAAGGAACACTGAGCTAAAATTGGAGTGTTTCAAGGATATATTAACCTCCCTAGCGGTCTGATTATGTCCATATTTCTGTGATTAAAGGGGTATATATTTTTGCATGGAAATATGTATTTTTTTATTGTAGGCCTGTAATTTTTAGGAATAATTCACTGAAATCTGTCCGAACAAGAGTCTAGTAAAAATCCCGGGTAGGATAAAACTTGAAACACGAAATCATAAATTATAATTTAATAAATAATCATAAAAAATAATAATATAATAATAATAAATTTAATTCAATAATATAATCAAACCAAAAACACTGAAATTTGAAATAGAGCTCCAAGTTCGCACATCAGTGAGCAAAGTCGCAGAATCGTTTTCAGTGTCTGATGACGAATTTCCCCACGAATCATTATCACTCAATTCTGCAAGTAGTTCTAATTTACTATCGCTGTTCTCTAGCCGGTCTAAAATCGCTTTTGACCTAAAGAGATGCTTTTTGGACGCCATGGACTTTTCTCAGTTTCCAGGCAGAAAGAACAGTAAAAATGCAGGCAGGGCACAGGACAAAGCACTAGGGACAAAATATATGTGAAATGCTTTGATACAGTAATGTTTTACTATGTGATTTTAGTGATTTTTGTGAATGTCACTTTTTGCCATTTTCAAATTTCCCGCCGTTCTGTCCCCCCGTACATCCCAATGCTCGCAGGGGATGGAACACAGATGACAGATGCCGGCAACCGCCAGATTACATTGCCGGGGACACTGCAGGAGGGACATCGCAGGAGCGCAGGATAAGGTAAGTGATCGAGGAGCAGTGCTGCAAGGTATTCCCGACTGTAGGTCGGGGTTACCGCTTGTGGTACTGAAACTTTACCCGAGCTACACTCGGGAATACCGCAAGGGGGGTTAAATAATGGCTCTAGCCAGTGCATTCCAATAGGCAACAAATATAAAGGCCCAAAGTTAAGGGGAAGTCCACTTTTGTGGGGGAAAATAGTGCAAATAAAAAATATAACATATACAATTGGTAGACAAGATATTGTAGTTTAACATGATTAAAACACCTTTACATTTCAGTCTGCAGTTCTGTCATTTTCTGTAAAATGTAATGCAATATGGCAACCTGGAGACATTCTGTAGAAAGATGGTGAACTAAACCCAGAAATGTCAAATGCAACAGAGTTTGTTAAAATCCTTGCAGTGTGCATAGATCACCTAGACAGGAATTTTTTTTTTTTAACAAGAGTGGAATTACTCTTTAAACATGGGTGGCTAAATTCTAGAGTCAAAAGGCATATTAAAGGGGAAAAAAAAATGTCCTTTACAAAATATAAGGCCGAAGGGTCACAGTCAGCATTCAAACACTACAAGAATGCAATAAACAAAATGTAAGAGAGTGATCATGGCAGCTAAAATAGACTATGAGAGACCCATAGCAGAGGAGAGTGACAAAAAATCCCAAATTTTAAAAAATATATAATAGTGAAGAACACAAGAGAAGTTGGTTACAAATGACAAGAAGGCAAATGTATTAAATACACTCTTTTTTTCAGTTTTTACAAGGGAAAATGAGGGGTATAATAAACAAGACAGTATTGTTAGTAATGCAAATTGGATTGTATCCTTGTGGCAAACAAAAGGCAGTGTTCAAAAATAGAATTGAAAAACTTCAGCCACCCACTCCCCCCGCCCCTTCCCCAACAAAGAAAAAATATTTTATTTAACACAAAGATGTCAATTTATACAATATTTCTAATAAAGGACATGGGCATATTTAAAAATAACCTCCAAAACACATTTTGCTACTACTCCTGAGTATAGGGATATACCATATTTTTGACTTTTTTTAGGTCTAGTTCACACCAATGCGGTTTTTGTAGTGTTTTTTTTGCAGAAACGCACTACAGGCCATTTAACATGGTTACTTACAAGACACATTCACATCTATGCTTTTTTGAGCCGCTGCATTTATGGAAAGGGTCATGGACTTTTTTAAAACAAAAAACGTTGCGTTTTTGGTTCGACAGACTTCAAAAATGTGTGAAAATGTGCATGAAAAAAATGCACCGCAAAAAGTACTGCAAAACGGACAAAATGCAAACTGCATTGGTGTGGACCAGGCTTTAGTGCATAACTGCACAGAGGGGCACAAATTCCAAGGAGCACCTTCAGGCTTTCAAGGCACATAAATTATCTAATTTCCTGACTACCTATCACATTTTTCACCTGGATGTGCCACACTATTGGTGCTTGCCTTCTGCATTTCAGTAGACAGTTCAATGCTTGGTGACATTGTACACCTGACTTTCATCCTCTGAATCAGAGGTGGATGTAAATAAATAGCTTTTGGCAATGGCTGTATCTGTACCTGATGACACTGGTGCTGGTTGGTGATCAGGACAATGGTTCTGGCTAACAATGGTACTAGATGACACTGTACAGGTGTGGCTGGTGAAACCACATTCACAGTTAGAATTTAATTTGAGGGAAATAAAATTATTCTGTTCCTTTGAATATTCTCAGCACCACAGAAACAAATGTCAAGTTAACCCCTTTAGCCATTAGAAAATCAAACAAATGTCCCAAAAACAAACATTTTGCAGCAAAATTTTACTTGGTGTATGGCCAGCTTTAAACTTATACCACAAATGACATTAATCTTTAGAGAACTCGAACAGCTTTGCTTCTGTAAATATGAGGATTTTTGATGTTTGGAAGCCGCTGACCTAACTGTCTGGGTCGGTGCCATTACTGCGTGGCCTTAGTCGCCCTCTTTGCTTCTGTGCAAATGTTTAGCTTAGAAGAAGTTCTACTCTGTGCCCCTGCCAAGGCTGTGCCCGGTTACATAAGGACTTGAGTTTTTGACTCTGAGCAAATATTAATCCAGCAGAGTGAGAGAGCTAAATGTAAAATTTCCAGTAATAGTCGGGGGATTGGTTTTGGTGTGGAGTTTTAAGGGCAAGTACCATCTATTTAATATCTCCTAAATATGTGTGTGAAAAAGATCAGCTTATTGTACAGGTGAAAGTCAAAAAATTGGAATATTGTGCAAAAGTTAATTTATTTCAGAAATGCAACTTAAAAGGTGAAACTAATATATGAGATAGACTCATTACATGCAAAGCAAGATAGTTCAAGCCGTGATTTGTCATAAGTGTGATGATTATGGCTTACAGCTCATGAAAACCCCAAATCCACAATTTCAGAAAATTACAATATTGTGAAAAGGTGCAATATTCTAGGCTTAAAGTGTCCCACTCTAATCAGCTAATTAAGCCATAACACCTGCAAAGGGTTCCTGAGCCTTTAAATGGTCTCTCAGTCTGGTTCAGTAGGAATCACAATCATGAGAAAGACTGCTGACCTGACAGTTGTGCAGAAAACCATCATTGACACCCTCCATAAGGAGGGAAAGCCTCAAAAGGTAATTGCAAAAGAAGTTGGATGTTCCTAAAGTGCTGTATCAAAGCACATTAATAGAAAGTTATGTGGAAGGGAAAAGTGTGGAAGAAAAAGGTGCACAAGCAGCAGGGATGACCGCAGCCTGTAGAGGATTGTCAGGACATTCAAAAGTGTTGGGGACTTTCACAAGGAGTGGACTGAGACTGGAGTCAGTGCATCAAGAGCCACCACACACAGACGGATCCTGACATGGGCTTTAAATGTCGTATTCCTCTTGTCAAGCCGCTCCTGAACAACAAACGTCAGAAGCGTCTTACCTGGGCTAAAGAAAAACAGACCTTGTCTGTTGCTCAGTGGTCCAAAGTCCTCTTTTCTGATTAGAGCAACTTTTGCATCTCATTTGGAAACCAAGGATCCAGAGTATGGAGGAAGAATGGAGAGGCACACACTGCAAGATGCTTGAAGTCCAGTGTGAAGTTTACACAGTCTGTGTTGATTTGGGGAGACATGTCATCTGCTGGTGTTGGTCCACTGGGCTTCATTAAGTCCATGGTCAATGCAGCCGTCTACCAGGAGATTGTGGAGCACTTCATGCTTCCTTCCGCAGACGAGCTTTATGGGGATGCTTACTTCATTTTCCAGCAGGACTTGGCACCTGCCCACACTGCCAAAAGCACCAAAACCTGGTTCAATGACCGTGGGATTGCTGTGCTTGATTGGCCAGCAAACTCGCCTGACCTGAACCCCATAGAGAATCTATGGGGTATTGCCAAGAGAAAGATGAGAGACATGAGACCGAACAATGCAGAAGAGCTGAAGGCCGCTATTGAAGCATCCTGGTCTTCCATAACACCTCAGCAGTGCCACAGGCTGATAGCTTCCATGCCACGCCGCATTGAGGCAGTAATTGCTGCACAGGGCCCAAACCAAGTACTGAGTACATATGCATGCTTATACTTTTCAGAGGTCCGATATTGTTCTATGTAAAATCCTTATTTTATTGATTGCATGTAATATTCTAATTTTCTAAGACTGTGGATTTGGGGTTTTCATGAGCTGTAACCCATAATCATCACAATTGAACTATCTTGCTTTGCATATAATGAGTATCTCATATATTAGTTTCACCTTTTAAGTTGCATTACAGAAATAAACAGAAAATACAGAAAATTAACTTTTGCACGATGTTCTAATTTTTCGAGTTTCACCTGTAAGTTATTCTATCAGTGCTTGCTAATAATTAAAAAATGTAAATCAGTAAGCATATATGTACCTTGTGTGGCTATTTTTTCATTACATATACATTACACACAAGGACCTGCACTTTGGTTGTACCCTGCACCTAGGTCTACCTACAGCCTTTGTCTGGTTAAAAACAGAAGGCTCTTCAGTGTTCTTCCTAGATTTTGTTTTAACCGGGTGCATTGAAGCTTTGCCCAGCGTGATGAAGTCACTGCCCAACTAGCCTTAGCCTTTCAGAAAGCTGATGCGTCAGATGGGCAGTGACCTCATCACGCTGGGCGAAGCTTAGATGCCATTTTAGAAAGTCGAGTATGCTAATAGCCTGTGACATGCCTCTATGACCTTTGAATTTTAACTTTCTTATGGAAAAAAACTAGTATTCTGCACTATTGGATGTTTCTTTGCTTCCTTTTAATATATCTATTCCTGGGTGATTGGTAATGACCAGGTAAATGCTGAAGAAGATTGTGGTCTCAATTATAAAAGCGCAGTTGACCCTGATTTTGTAGCGGGGTCCATTATATAAGGTGGGGAGATACCCATGAGGTGTGCTGAAGGGCAAGGTGGCGTTTGTTCATGCTGAAGAAAGTCATATTGTTGTTCTGACAAGAACTAATATATCGATTGAACATTGCACGAAGATTGATCGGTGTATCGGACTCTCACATTGGACTTATACATTTTTGTTGTGGTTTTTTTTTAGCTTTAAGAGCTATACTGTGTGTGTGTATGTATATGTTTTACACAAAAAGATACTGAATATTTGGGGGGACCTGTTTATAACGGGTTATGAGGTTATATGATATTTGATTTATGTCATATTGTTAGTACACTTTTATTGTAGTCCCCCTGCATGTCTTGAAAGATGCAATTACATTTTAAAGCTTTACTCCAGTCAGCAAAAAATAAATAAAAATCACTTTTTGGTATAATACCTTCTCCCCATATAGTGAGCGTCTAGGAGGTATGAAATATTTCATTAATTCTTGCCCCTACAGGATTTCTCCCCTTGGACAACCAGCTCCACAAAGCTGCTCCTCTTCACCAATCCCATGGTGAATCCCAATCCCTTTGCAACATCATCGTATACAGTGATGGTGTGAATGTTGTCACCCACATTCCAAGGCTGGAGA